CGTTCTATGTGGCTCAAAGGCACCGGCAGTACGCTGTAGCGAGTATAATACAATGGGACGCCAAAATTCAATGTCAAGGGGGGAAGGCACTACAATCGTAGAATATCCCCACTTCGATCAATACCACCCCGAAAATGGTCTGCCACCACGTTTCCACCCAGGATGGTCTCTTCCACAACTCCCTGCACATGCTTAGGTTCTATGCGACCATACCAAATTCCCTTTCCTGCGAGAGAATGCGGGGAGGAAGAACCTTTCATCGTTATACCCGGAGGGATATACACGATCACATTGCCTGCATACTTATGACCTCCTACATGGCTAATTAAACCCACATGAGCATGCCCTGGGCTATCAATTGCGTGATCGCCACTGCCTGCCAGTGTGAACCCTTTGTCACCAAGTACCCTCCGAAATTCATTCTCCAGCACCGGTGCCATTACACCGCACCGCTTGTCACGCCCACCGTGGCCGCAGATAAGGATGACAGGAGAATGATATAAATCCACAGCATCCGTGAATTTGGATGATAGCTCCGGCTTCCGAGTTAGTTCAGCCTTCTTAGCCTCAGGAAGAGACTCCGACATAGCACTGAGCTTTTTGGGGAGCAGGAAGGCTTGTACGAAGGTAGACAAGTCGGTCCCCGCGCCCGTGGAGTCTAGTATCTCGGTCGGAATAGATGGGAAATATTTAAAGCTGGGAAAGAGAAATGCAGATGCAGTGGAAGAGGTACTAGTAGAAGCAACGGACGGAGAAAAGGAAGAGCTGCTGACAAGAATGTTGTTGAAAGGCTTCATCTGTTAGCAATGTGTCCACCGGAGATAGCTGGACCTGGACCGCTACCTACGTCAGCATAGCGTCCTCCCCGACCCAAGAGACGCTTCAACCCTCTCGCTAGGTGTCCCCAAGCATGATGTTTCCCGTCATCTTCGATACGACTTGTCCAATCTCTTTGCCCGGTACAAATGAGCATTTGCTGCGCGTAGGCTGCCATTGTCCCATTCAGCGGCTGGTTATAATCAATTGGGAGCCCATCGGGCATTGCCGGTGTTGTAGGGCATGGGCAACTGGGCTCTGGGCAGGACTTGGTCACTGGAAATGGTGGAGGGATGTCTAGAGGAACTCGCAGGGAACTTGCGTGGCGTGTGGTAGCGCGGGCTGTTGGTGTCCTGCTGGCTACCCGGCAAAGCACGGGGCGCAACGTCATGATTGTCGATTTGGTTTTAACTGTGCCTCAACCTAGTGATATGCTAGGGAGATTCCGAAAATCGCATACCTCCTACAGTCCTTTACATGTCTAGGTTGGTCCGCTAAAGCGGTCGCTGTTTTTGAAATTCGGAGTCTGTGTCGAAAAGGGATAAATACCCGAGTTTCCGAGGCCTCTTCGGAGATAACGGGAATTCTATGCATTATCAATCAATCATGTGGTTTAAATTTGACCTGGATAACATCAACGTATTTGAGTGCATGGGGCACAGTATCTAGAACCCGTCTTTTGGAGTCACAAAGAGGGAGAAGGAGATGAGAAAAATCCTGTCGCCGCATGAAGCTTTCCATGACGACTTCGAGAGATTGAGTAATTCAATACAACAATTACATACTATATAGATCGTCACATTTACATGCCATAAGCCAATATATTACCTGGCTATGACTCTATAACTCCTCTTCCTACGGCCTTGTAAATGCAACCAAAGCGCTAGAAGAGTCCGTTAGAGGCCATAGCGCATAGTAGAAGCCAGTGGCCCCTCCAACAAGAATCCCATAGTACGCGATGGTCCAACCAATGCTGAGTTGGCTATACGCATAAACCGGCCCCCGATCTGTATCGCCTTTGCCTTTGCCTAATGGTGATTCGAGCGGGACCCCGGCCTCAACTCTTCCCCAAAGACGAGGAAGTCCGCACCAATTGCAGAATGCGTGAGCGAGAATGACGGCTGGTAGAGATCCTGTACGTAGATATATGAAAGTTGCATACCACCCGAAGATGGTGGTATAACCAAATTGAAAGACCGACCTGAACAGCGCCGCTATGATGGAGGTATCCGGGTGAGTTAGACGAAATTCATAAAAATGATGTACATGGGCAATCCCGAAATACAGAGGGGCTGTAAACACGATCCGGCTTGGTGAGGCCTTTGCGAGTATATGAAGGGGTATGATGGCGGAGCGAAACATGACCTCTTCAGTGACCGGGCCCTGTTTATATGTATATTGTGAGCGGAAGGATAGCGATCAGGTCTGGGCCGTTGGATTTGACTCACAGCGACGTAATTTCTCCATCCGATCCACCCGCGAAGGGTTTCAGAGATCCTGTTCCCTTTGATCCAATCTCTCCACTCGCCTTCGGCAATCCCTCGCTCGAAGAGGGGTCCGGCGAACAGAATGGCGGTTAGCAACAGGCTGCGAAGAACCTCCGTGAATCCTACGGGCCACCACCCAAGAAATCTGAGAGCCTCACTCAGAGGGACATTGCCCTTGGCGATGATCAGCCACGAGACAGCTAAGGTACTCCCAATGCAAGACAGGGTCACAGCCTTAATTCTGGCCCGGATCACGGACGGTGCATCTCGGCTGAGGGTGGGAGATGGCCGAGTGGTAGAAGAGACATAGAATGGGACCACATAGACTAATGTCAGACAGATCTGCAAGATTTTGTTAGCTAATTCTGAAACGAACTATGCCTATCAGCTGTAAAAATGAGAGGCCTTTTTAGGGGGTGGGAGTTGCCCCTTTTCTAGGTTACAATGATGCTATTTTTATAGATGTTTGTTTGGGAAAAGCTAAGGCGGGAGTAGATGCCTACCGAGAAGAAAGCTGCCGTCTGGGCCGAAATGACCGGTTCATCTGAAGACGAACGGTTAGAGGTACACGAGATCATTTCCGATTGCCGGGCCTACCGTAGCTTTTGGCGTAGAGGGTCCTAAGACGCGCCAGGATATTGACAGGGGCCATAGCTATCTACCTGAGTCGGGTAGAATCACTGAGCGAACCCGACGTCGGAGGAATAATGTATCGAATTGATAGGTATACAAGAGTTGGATCATGTAATGTAGCAAAGTGCATCAGGGGGTGTTGAAATGACGATCCCCATGGACGTCGTTGACGATGATAATTGAGATAAAAGAGAAAAAAGACAAACAAAGAAAACCGAAGTTTGTCATTTTTTGCCTGATTCTGAAGGCATTAAACCACACACAACTTCATCTCCGGAGTACCGTTGGATCGTCTCTCATCATGTGCCATGGATACAGTACGGTCACTGGACCCAAGGAACTACAATCCGAGTCCTATTTTAACGTACCTCTTTTACAATGAAGTATCCAATGCATGCGAATGAAACCCCGCCCCTCATCTGCCATATCCCTATCCATTGGGTACATCAGTTAAGCTCACAATTCATCATCGAAATCCTCTAGCAACAATGGTACGTAACTCGTGTTCATTAACGCCGTCTATCTGACCGACCCCACTTCGGCTGAGTTGGCAGCTCTGGATGATCCTTCGCTTTGTCTCGTTAGGATTCACGGCGAGCCTCGTGCGATTATTGGCCTGCATGAATTGACAAAGAGACAATTTCCCCCTTTCTGCTACCAATAAGACATTCTGGAATCCTCGGCCTTCTCTGACTCGCTCAGCCACAGTTGCCCTAGTGGATCGACCCCCGGTTCATTTTGTTCCCCGAAGCCTGCAACTCCACCGTTCGGATTGGTCACAATCGAGACGGCCATCCTCGTGGAGACTTACTAAGAGGCTTTAGGCTCTGAGAGAATGTGATGAGATCCCTACAGCATACAGAGACATGCTGCTGCGTATGAATGCAACACTCGACTAATGCGCAGTAGAGGGGCCTTGCATATGTTTCTCACTACTAATACTAGCCAGCCAACTGGATTTCGTTGCACCCTCCGAATTTTAACCCCCAACATTGACTATGGGCTGAAGTGTTTAAGCCCCTCCACCCTTAGTCTCAACCGGATCAACACCAAGCGAAATGACCCCGAGCCTCGAATTCCACTCCTCATTTCCGGATCGCTCGGCTCACTATTTGTGACGCTGAGAATTATGAATTATTCATATAATTAGATCTTGGAGATCGCCACATGTTTTGGAACCTAATGACGAGGGACCTTCCGATGCAAAAACAAACGCTCCAGACCTCCTGGTGAGCTGCGACTGATCCGCGGACCAATTACCTTCTCACGCGATCGGCAGGGCAATTCAGTTTAGCGGACGAACTGCAGGTCCATTCCTACACAGTACATCTTTTCTTTTTTCTTCCCCCACTACTCGGGTTGTTTCAGATGCTGCTCTAGAGCGTGCAGCTTGCATGCCCCTGGACGGATCCGTTTCCTGTTCCAGACCTTAGGCTCACATCGTTCACCGCCGCTACTAGACAACAGGATTCTGGAGGCTGCTTAAATATTACCACCGAGGCCTGCTTGCATAACTGCTTCGTTTCAGATCTTGGTTTTTTCTCTTCCAGTCGTTCAGGGTCTTGTCGCTCTTTTGGAAACGTGTTTTCGGTGCTTTCTGGTCTCGGTTCAACGCTCTCTTTTCTATGGTCGGCATGACTCAGCTAATCTAACTTTCCACGATTCTTCAACTGCCGGCTCCACGCTCCTTTTAATGTTACGTCCCGTTGGACGCGCCAGTCGCTCATTTGACGTCGCTTGTGTGTCGAGACATTCTTTATTGCATCACAAAAAATAATAGACAAACAACAAAACAACACCAGCAGCCGTCGATCGCTTGCTTCATAGACTAAATCTGCTGTCATTCTTTTTACGTCTTAGACAAGCAGCCATTGATATTATTGATCGTTTTTATTCTCACTTTTACCATTCTACGATCCTAAGCCTGCATCTTGGGAATTTTCTTTTTCTTTTTCTTCTTTATTCGTCAATAGAAACATCTGTTTTTCTGACACCCTTCTTTATATCATAACCACTTCTGCAACTGGTACTTCCTGATAATGAACTAATCATCGTCCCAACAATATGCGCTCAACTGGATCTTCAACTACCTCGTCGCCCGGACGGAGGGCTCTTCATGAGCGCACTTCTTCTCAAACGAACGAGGTTTCACCGCCACAGTCTCTACGAGCTGTTAGTGACAAGCACAATGACCAGGAAGACGAATGCGATGTTTACACGGCAACTCCGTATCCGACCAAACCAGAACACATCCTCTTGCCACGACCGGGGAAAGGCCAAGAGTTCATCCCGGATTCTAGGTTCCACATTGAGGAGATGCCGAATGAATCCAGCGCGACACTGTCAACAGAAATCAGCCATATTCTAGATAGCAGTTTGATTGAGCAATCTACCGGTGATCCATGGGACTTATCCTCAACCTTCGACGCTGCAAACACTCCACCTCAGGTATGGGAAGATGATCCTGCCTCCAGCAAGTCTTCTCTTCCAGAACATGGCCCCGCAGAGCATAGAGAAGTCGATTTCAAATCGGATGATGTTTCGTACTCGGACGAGGAACCAAATACGCTACCTAGAGCTGCTCCAACAATCAAGACCGTAATTTCCGACACGTCATCCCAACCGCCACACCCTGCAAATGCTGCATCAAGCAATTCTAGTCCCAATGTAATACCTATTGGGCCGTCGTCCAGTCCGAATTTTGTTGCGCTTGACAGTTCAAGTTTGAATTTTGTCCCAATTGGTGCATCATCCAACCCAGACAGTGGCTCTCGGTCAAATTCGCTTTCCTCTATGAATTCACTGGGAACTGTGATCAGGTATATAGGAGCCGCTCCCTGGACCCATGGCTCATCTTCCGAACAGTCAAGCTCACGCTCTTACTCCTTTCGTTCAAATCCGCCCTATCAAGGACCATCAGCGCGCTCAAATTCCACCCGCGCACGTGAACGGAGTCACTCTCGGTCCGTTACTTCCTCTCGCAGCGATCCATCCTCAGATATTCAAGCGATTGTGGATAGCGGCGTATTTCTGCAATATCCAACCATCCATGCGCCTTCGTCAGAGAGCTCAAGGGTAGACGTTTCGCACTCTGGTGACTCACTGGACCACACCCAGCACGAGACCACGGCGGACGGTGCGTCGGAACACTTTAAATCGCACTTATCTACAGTTACGTCTCGATGGTCCGCTGAGTATGATTCGAGATCAGCTTCTCCGGCCGATCGTGCCGAG